GCAGTTTGTAGTATCCCGTGACTTATTCACGATATTGCTAATTAATGCACGTTCCTTAATCAATAAGATATCTGAACTAAGGACATTATTATTTATCGCCAAGCCTACTGTAGCTCTGATTACTGAATCATGGTTCTCATACTCTGTACTTGATGTGCATATAGACATAGATGATTACACTGTACACCGTGCAAACAGAGACTGCAAGCGTGGTGGAGGATGTCTCATATATATACATAACTCATTCGTAGTCAGTAAGGTGGAAGATGAAATACTGAACGAGGTACCTGATTCACTCTGGGTCGTCTTACAAGGAGATAAGTACAAGCTTCTCATAGGCTGTGTTTATCGCGCACCAAGCTCAACCAAAGAAACTGATGCGTTATTAGCTAAGTCATTCGCACATGCCTGCTCGTTTAGTACTAATTACAAAATAATTGCAGGGGACTTCAATCTTCCAGAAGTCAATTGGTTAAGTAGTTCCGGCCCCCAACGCTTCGACGGATTACTTGCCACTATCGATTGTTATGGATGGCAGCAATACGTCCAGACACCTACTCGTGGTGACAACATGTTGGACCTTGTGTTTTGTCATGACACAATGCCAGTCTCCATCTATGTTGGTAACAGATTTTCCAGTAGTGACCATAGAATGGTACTCTGCTCTCTGCCTTTCTCACCACTAAATACAGGAAACAAGCAGGATTCAGGGAGCCTGATATGTCGTAGTTACAAACATACAGACTGGGGATTAGTCCAAGAACTCATTCGACTCTGTCACTGGGATGAATATTTTACCACTGACTCCCTGGAGGCTGTAGTGTCCCTATTTTACAGGAATGTTATCCTTTGTCTAGATACTGTTGCTCCTAAGAAGGTAGTGAAATTAAGTAGACACCAGCTGAATACATTCCGAGGGCATACCGCAATAAGTTAAGGAAGTTGAAGAAACAGTTCTATTCCACTAAGGATATATCACTGCTGCACTCCATCCACGAGTCTCTTGAATCTATCAAGCGCCAACGCTCTCAAAAGGACCTCGACGAAGAGTTAAGGGCACTTGAAAGCACCTCCAAAGTTTATAATCTAACAACACTTCTTAAAAAACGAATGCAGTCGACGAGGGACATCCCCTATTTACTTCATGACAAAGTCATCTATAATGTGCCTGCCACTATCTGTGAAATATTCAGTGAGTGGTTTGCAAACTTCAGTTTAGAAACGCGCACTCCTGGTGAAACCGGGCCCCTTACTAGCTCTTTCCTCGGAAGCATAGTGTTCACCAACCAATTAATAGAACAAGCAGTTAAAAGCCTGAAACCTTCCACTAGCACGGGACCAGATGGCCTTGCTTCTATAATTTTCAAAAACAGCGGGTTTGATATACCCCTATTACTTCTTCAATTCTTCTCAATATTCATGGACACTGGCACTTACGCTAATGAGTGGAAAACTAGCTTCATATTTCCACACTATAAATCCGGAGATAAGGCAAACGTCCGCAATTACAGACCCATAAATATAACCCCATTTGTCTCGCGAATCATGAAGTAAGGAAGGAGGATGATTATTATTTTATGCATTCACACCTATGTTTCAATTCCCTCACCGGATATAACTTCTTAAAACCATATATATACGATTGTACAGCTTGATGATAAATTCGTTGAAAAGAGTCTCTTCGCTGAATCATTTGTTTTGATTTTCTACAATTAACCTACGCTGCTTACTTCTATGACGCATTACGTAAAGCTACCTTCATATAGTTTCCGCTGAAGGTAATCTCCTATAGCTACTGCCTTAGTGAGCAACTTAACGTTATCTTTGAATAGCAAAGTAAAAGTGGAAATTCTGAAATCTTTCTTGGTAAAAAATCGTCTCTTACTCGAATAAAGTAAATATACCCTAGTCTCCTCTCCTCAGAAGCGTTTAGAGGTATTCATCCCATCGCCTCAAATGACTCGCTATTTGCAGTTACAACAGTCAGATTCGCGAAATTAGTCCGAAACACAATGACTACGATTCTCAGTCACAGAACATTCTACTTTGCTACCTAATCGTCTAGTCGTATCAACAGAAGTTTCGCCAAGAAAAAGAAGACCACTGGTTCAAGGAAAATTTATTGAAAGTTTTCTTAAATAAAATCATGGAAATCCGCGTTTATAGTCACCGAGAAATCACAACATCGAGAAAACCAGCGATCGTAGACCACAACCCAAAACGTTATTCTTGCTAATTAAGGGTCTCACCTTTAACTGAGATCGTTCGTACACTCACCAGATCATCGTATTTTGTATTCATTTTGTAAATCGTTTTGCAACATATCGAGTGGCTGTTAGCACTGGCTGTACTGAAGGCAGTCCTGGTTCATGTATTTGGATCTGGTACTTTAAGCATTAATAAGCATACATAACACTTACCCTTTAGGAGTTCCAGTTTCTTTTAGTTCCCAAAAATACACACAAGCACAACAGATTCATACTTCTCATGTGGCTCAAACTTGTTTGATTTAGATTCTCCCACAATATATATCTGACTTTTTAACTGATTACAGACACACTGATGGTAATTCATCTTCTCGAAAAAACTTTCTTCAAACCAGGTTCTAACCCAGCTAGCAACGATTTCGGGCGCATTGCAGACTTTTTGAGGCAGGCTTAGGGGCACTGTTCTACGTAAGTGGATGCGCCCGAAGTTTCTTGCCCCAAAAAACCTGCAGTGCGCCCGAAAATAATGCTAGCTGGGAAATTCTCAAGGTTTCATATGCTCTTCGAAAAACTCGCTAATATCAAACCTGATCGCGCTCTCTTCACCAGATTCACTCGTAGATTGTTGCATGCTGTAAAGATGAACGTGAAAGACATTTTTTTTCCAGATTTCTACATGTTAAGTAAGCAACTGAGCCAGCAACAATAACCGCAACCAACGAGTGAACAGCTTAAGCTGTTGTTTCTGCCACCCAAACATGTTCATGTGCATAATTTCCAAAACTTCTACACAGTACTAATTCATTAATAGCTGAAAAACAACTAAAACCCCGAAACCATGCATGAATGCAACGTATGAAACAATTACTATGAAATAAATGCACTGACCTGATGGTAAAAACCTTCGAAACAAACGAAATAACTAATTTTAACAGAAACGGAAACAATAATGAAGTGAAACGCAACATTTGTGAACAATTTCAGTCATTCACTGATAAGTTAACCAGTTTAAGTTATGCGGCGAAGCACAGACGCTACTTCACGCGCCGCCTTCAGGTACTTTTCTACTATGGTGATCAGTAATGGGACAAAAACTCGTATAATACCACTAAATAAGTTTTCTTTTCTTCTTTTGCAGAAACGAATGCCAGTATAAACTCATTGGAGCAAGAAGGTCGTCTCGTTTCAATTTACTAACAGTTACATTGAAATTTAGTCCTTTCTCAAGTACTTTTATCTCATTAGAGTCTAGTCATAGAACAAAGCTGCCCATTGAAGAAATAATTTAGGGATTCAGTTATGCCTCACATCTACTATCTTCAAGTTTCAAGGTAAAATCTACAGACAAACAGAAGGCATAGCAATGGGATCACCAATATCCCCTATTGTAGCAGACATTTTTATGGACAGCTGGGAAAATAGTGCTCTCAATACATTTAATCCTACTCCAAAAATATGGTGGAGATATGTGGATGACACATTCACAGTGTTAAAAACAGAACATATCTCTAGTTTCTTGACACATATAAACTCACAAGTAGAAGGAATAAAGTTCACATTTGAATCAGAAAATGAACAAGGAGAATTAACTATGTTAGATTGAAAGATGAAACGAATAGAAGAAGGTAAACTTCACACTAGTGTTTATGGAAAACCAACGCATTCTAATAGATATTTAGACTTTAATTCGTCTCATCCGTTAACTGTTAAGGCAGGCTTAGTGAAGTGTCTGACAAACCGAGCCATAGCACTAAGTAGCACAAAAAGGACCTAAATGACGAAATAAAACAGATAGAAGAATAGTTGGTTGGTGTTAAATAACTATCCTATAAAATTCATCAGGAAGATCAGTAAAAGCCAAAAACAAAATAAAAATAATTCTGTAACTAGTAATGATAACATAAGTAAGAAAGAATATAAGTCATCTACTGTTCTATCATTTATTGAGGGAGGGGACATCTGAGACCCTACGTAGGATTCTCAATAAAGCAGGAATTAGGGTGGCATTCAAACCTACAAACTCACTCAGAGACAAGCTCTGTAGGTTAAAGGACCCTTTTGACCTAATTAGACAAATAATATAATTTACAAAATACCCTGCAATGACTGTGAGGTCAACTATATAGGTCAAACTAGTAGGTCAGTGTCAGTGAGATTATCAGAACATAAGAATTTAGCTAAGGTTAGAATGGTTGACCCCGAGAAGATAAGTAATTTAGGAGAAAGCTCGGCAGTAACACTGCAAGCATTAACACACAACCACACAATAGGGTGGGAGAGGGTTAAAATTCTAAAAAGTAGTCTAGGTAGGTGGAGAGAGAGGTTGATTGCTGAATCCTTATTCATCGAGTCTACACACAACACATGCAACAGAAATGACTCAACGCAAATACCACAAATATGGAAGATATTATTACCGCCGTTCAAATCAGAAGGGGATAATAAATAATCTCAAAATTCTATTTCAATTCAAACACATCACAACATTCTAACAAGTTACTCATTATGACTATAAAAACAGTCGTCTTATTTTTCCCATCTGATTGTAATCAATCAATAACACTGGTACTATAATTTCTGAATGTACATTATCTCACATTGATTTTTAATCCAATATCTAATCGATTCCACACATGTATATAAATGAAAGAAAAAAAGTTGTGTGAGTAACTTGATGGGCAATAGTTTGTGCTCGATACGTCATCAGTTAATATAACTGTACAACACTGTGTGATTTATCAAAATAAAGTCTTATCCATAATGGAGTGCTATAGTGCTGTACGCTTAAGACATACCCATCACTCATTTTGCCTAGTATTTGGTATCAATTAGTCCGTTTCAACCTAAACTAATTTCCAATAATTGTTTGCTTTTCTGCAGATAATTTGTGGCGAATTCGTTTCTACGGTCATTGTCATAAGGATGGATGTAAGTGATTGTGATTTCAGATGGGTTTTGTTACTTACCGTTTGCTAACTAACTCATTAGCGTTAATCTGCTTTGACCCTATTCAGATAAAATTTTGGTTAAATTAACGAGTAGTGAACTCATCGATGGTTATGACTGTTTCTTGAAGAGTTTCGAAAGAGGTGAAGGGATCGATAAAGCGAGACTAAGCGAACTTGTAATTACATATCAATTTCCGGTCGTGGAAGGCAGACGATTGGAAGAAAGTGTAAACCATTGGCAAAGACAAATTACGATTGATTACTTTTGAATGTAGTTTCAAAGGTTCAGGAGATAAAAACAGGATGAGTCACCCTGTTTCGTCATGCCTTATTGTAAAGCATATGTTTGCCCACGACATTCGATATAACAAATTTAATGCTAATCTAGGAGGTAAGTGTTCAGTTATGGAGTTTGTGCATCAATACAGTGGGCGTGATTGCACTTCTTCTTAGTCGGTGTGCTCAAGTGAATTCGTCGAGACTACTTTGTACCATGAGTATAGCATACTGTTTTAGTGAACTGATAGAGTCTCTACACTGCGAGTTGGTCACTATGCATTCATTCATGTTTCCTGTACAAGTGGCGTTTATACTTTTGGATATCCATCACTGATTAGGTTTTTGGAACATGAGTGTGTTCACTTCTGTTTTATAGCTGTTAGCCTCTTAAGCGTTAGCAACACAGGGGTATGGGTAATCGATTGACGAGATGGGATTCTTCCGTTGAGACTATTTGGCATCTTAAGTTAACATAAGAGTTTCTAGGTTATTCAGACATCACATGATGTAATACTCGGGTTTTCAATTGGTGGTCACTGAATTAATTTAGATCAGTCTATTGAGAACATTTAAGGAGGGATATATTAAAGTTTGCACGTATTGGATCATTTCTAACATCTCAAAGCCTCTTGAGGATAGCGGTTTAAGCAAATGAGCTAGCATCAGGCTTAGGTAGGGTACTTTGGTCAAAAAGTAGGATAGTACTAACTTCTTCAGTCAGAGATTTGGTGGCAAAATTACGCAGTTGTCGTGTTGTGAACCGAATATTGTCAGGATAATAGGATACCGTGTGGTGTAATTTCTTATGAGGTAAGAACTGAGTATCAATTGCTTTTGTGATCCAACTAGTAATGTTCACATAATCTTACAATCTAGGAGATTTATATTCATTCCAGCTGAATGGGGCTGTCATTGTAGTATGTGACAAACGAACTTTTATATATTCCATCCTTGTCCGCTCTATAGGTCTCCGTGTACAGCATTTTTGTAGCCGAATTCATTAGCTGAGGAATAAACTTTTTTGACGAGATTATTGGAATGATAATTATTTTGCTTTTTTGTTATGTAATTCCTTGAATTGTGCAACATATATGTGAATTAAATCCGTTTCGACAATTACACAGGATATGTTAGAAGTGAATAAGAGATTATCAAGAAAAGTACAGTTGAAAGAAGATATGGCGGCTTATTATCTTGAGAAAATCGCAGACCAAGAATCTGTTATTGCCCAGCTTCAGGTTGAAAAGCAACAAACAATCTCAACTGATAGCGACAGTTCCATGTTGTCACCCTGTCGAATTGATGATTCTGTAATAGAAGAGGAGGAAGTCGCTTTATTGACTGAGTTGCTTAATGCTACTGAAAAACGTGTAGCTCAGTTGACGGAACTGTTGGAGGCTTTCGAAGAAGCTGAGGCTCAGAATTGTGAGGTAGGTATACTTGTTATGCTTGGTGTTGGTTTGAAAAGGAGATGTTCTTTATCCGTACCGAAAGTTTAGGTAGTTCATTAGACAGGATTTTTTCAAGCTGATGAGGCATTTGGTTTGCCTCACTTGGAAGTTGAGTATTTGGGGAGACTTTCTGTTGTGTATGATCAACTCATGCAGTTTATGGTGTACTTCTAGTGGGACAGGCACGCTAATACAGAGCATCTCACGAAAGTTTATTAGTTCTAGGTTACACTATTTCATTGATTCAATTGAGGCTATTATTAGTCTAGCTGTTTAATTGTCTTGTATTGACCTCATTTCAGTAGCAAGGAGTTTTGAGATGTACATTTCTGTGTTGTTGAAACCTTTAATTGATCTCACCGGATACCCCTCTTCATATAATAATGTTTGCAGCATTTATCCTAGGCTAATAACATGATTTTGGCATAATTTCAAACCACACAGACTGAACAAGTCGTTGCTCTGTGATCGTTTTCGATAACTTAGTCATTTGGGAATAAGTTTAGTGTTCCTAATCATCTTATCTGTATGGATTTTTTGTCTAGGATTACTGTTGCATTTCGTTTGTAAGTATGGAGATTTACCGCAGAGATTGATTTTGTCATGAAATGTGTTGTATGTGACGTGTTTAACATCTAATCTATGCTGGGTGTTAAATTTATTCCTTCCGAATTGTGTGTATTGTCTCTTCAGGCTTCTGACAACGATGATGAGGTGGCCAGTGGTGCACTCTCAGATGAAGTTAAACGGTTAGAAGATGAAATATCCAAGGTGAAAACTACCATGAAACAGGAGGAGTCAAAGCACTGTCAACGAATCCTTGAGCTAGAAGAGGGTCGTGATAGTTTGCAGAAAGATATCACTGAACTGGAACGTCAACTAAAGGTATGAGTAAATAAATTTAAAGTTCTTGGAATATGCATCACGTGCCCTAATCGTGTCAATCGATCCAGCTTGACAATGTAGTTGATTAATTTCCCTCTTGACTCAATAATTTACTCTTAACGGCATTACTACCATATTGCATCACCTTACAAGGAAGATTGATTGCTGAAAGACGGTTATCCTTTTCAAGTATTCCAATTTCAACGACCAAATGTCAGCCGTCAAAAACGATGGCGTGAACTAGTGAACAGTACACACGTCATTTGGTGGATATCCAGATATCACGTCTATGCGAAAGATGAGGGTGATTTGGAAACTGTGAGATGGACCTTTTGTAGCGGAACCAAGGTTTTGTTAGCATTTTCCAAACAAATGAGGTGGTCAGCACACTCGACTACCTATACTCCCTCTTCTTAAACTATGGATGAGTGCAGATTATATCTACCTAATTTCAGTGTCAATGCAATTTTATGACATAGCATACGAAGAGTTTTCACCTCTTCATTTATAAAGATATGAAAAACACAGAATCTTGATTGTTGGTTGCAACCAAAGTTTGGTTTGCAGAACGGTGTGTTTGACAGCACACGTCACTTTTATTCGTAGGATAACATCAATCCAATAGTGAGTTGTTTGTTATACATTCCAAAGAAGCTCTAAGTTGTATATCACAGTATAGTTACGTTCGTCTTAGTGTAACAGAAATTCTAATCCATTGCATTGTATTTTAATCAAAATTACGAAATATTTGGTTTGTATAGCTTGGGCTAGCTACTACAACGGGATACATCTTTGTAAATTTGTTATAGGCGACGTGATTCTAGATTGATGAGACAGTTTTCCTCTTAACCTTTATTTCTTTTCCACTAAGGAACGCCAATCAGAACTACGGGATAATCAAGCTCAGTGTGAATCCTTGAGAATGCAACTCAATTCTACGAGAAATGAACGCGAGAATTCTGCACTTTCTCAAGTTGGTTTATGATCCAATGTTCTGATAAGTATTTTTCTGAAAATATTATTATTATTGTTGTATCCTTTGACTCCTACAGGAACATAGGGCTTCAGCCGTACGTCTTCATTGCTTTCTGTTCTCTGCTGGAGTCTTCACCTGGCTCCAAGTCTGCCCACACGTTTTCATCTCCTCTTCACATAACCTCCTCCAAGTCACCCTTGCACTGACGACCAACTCGCCGCTGCCCTTTCGGGTTCCACTCAAGCAATGGCTTGTCTAGTGATGTCACTTGGTGGTTTCCTAAGAGTATGGTCAATCCATCTCCATTTCTTTCTGCCTATTTGTTTCACAATCGGTTCCTGCTGTGTTAATTCGCTCCCAGAGATCCAACTCTGTTGCTGATCTTTTCTGGCCGGCCATCTGATCTTGAGTATTGAGCGAAGACAACTGTTAATGAAGGTCTGTAGTTTTTTTGAGGTGCTCTTTATGACGCTCAGTGCAAGTCTCTGATCAGTATGGTGAGTTTTGATTGGAAATGGTTATCCTGAAAAGCTACTTGATAATATTATCAATAGAAAGGAGCATAAGGGAAAACCAAAAATTGAAAAGTCCTGGCTATCCACGATAGCCATCCCATACTGAAAGGACACAGCTGAACAACTTCAAAGATTATTTGCTTCATATAATATTAAAGTCTATGTCAAACCTTCTAATTCTCTCGAGAAGGCGTTGGTACATGTCAAAGATATAGTTCCCAGAATGTCACAAAGTAATTGTGTCTACAAGATAAAGTGTTCCGAATGTGATGCGTGCTATATAGGGGAGAGCAGTAGGCAGATGAACGTCAGAGTGAATGAACATAGACTATGGACGAAACGTCCACCTAGAAATGAAGTAGAACTAAAAAGTTTAGAAAAACAATCGGCTATAGCAATTCATGCTATAGAAAGCGGACATAAGATTGATTTCGACAATGTCGAAATTCTTGGAAGAGGATTTCATTCACATAAAGAAAGATTGACTTCTGAAGCCTTGTACATCTTAACCACATCGAATGCAGTGAATAGGAAAGATGGGATAGACTTATCACCTATATGGCAAACTCTTATGAAGCAAGACAAATGAAAAAATCAATCAGCACTCTATGAGCCTCCATGACCTTTTAAAACATGTTTATCATATATGAATTCACGTATTTTCCATATGACAAATAACATACAAACACACACACACTCATACAAAACTAATCTATACAAATTAACTATACAAGAGTGAACACAACAACAACTTGACATTAGTCATTACAAAAATATGTGATGACTGCTTACATATTTTCTATTGGTAAAAATGTCCATAGACAAATGACCTTCAGATAAACTGACTTTAATGTATGTAAAAATTTTTGACTATATAATTTGATGATTAATAAAAATCCAAATAAATCTGCTGAAGAAGCTGTGGCTTACACAGCGAAACATTCAGAAAAAGTCTTGTTTTGATTTTCTTAACATGCTGGGATTAATTTAAATAATTTATAATGAATCAATCTGACTCGCCGCTCAAATTATTTCAGGAAGTTCGTAACACCTACGACCTGAAACCTATGATCTTATCTAAGTGTTTTTTCATTGATGATACACTTTAATTTATCAAGGGTAATAAAGATTCTAATGTGTCAGACAAAATCATGTTCTCATTAGGTATGACTTTGCTTTTTACCAATATACCTTCTCACTGAAACTATTAGCTGCTTATATAGGCGATTATGTTGATGCACATAGATTAGATGTAGGGTTGCCGGCAACTTACCTCAAAGAACTCTTATTGAGATGTACGCTCAATGTTCAGTTCGCCTTCCATAACGAGATCTTTAGTTAGATATATGCCATTGCGATAGGATTGCCACTGCGTCCACTGATGGCTGATTGCTTTATAGTAAAGCTTAGAAACTATCAACACAATGAAACCATCAGTCGCTTTGATATTGCTAGAAGATACGTAGACGACACTTTCGTTATCTGAGAGAAGAACGTAATTCCTAATGATATCTTGCTTGCATTCAACAACTGACATCCTTCTCTGCAACTCACCATAGAAAAGGAATCTGAACTAAGCATTCCCTTTCTTGATGTGTGCGTTAGTAGACGCAATGGTGGATCTCTCAAAATTTCCATCCACTGGAAACGTACATGGAATGAACAAGTAACTAATTTTATAGTTGGGTGCTTATATCCAGGAAAGGGGACGTAATTCACCCGCTCTGCTTTAGGATAAAAACATCTGTAGTTCTGACTGCGTTGACTCAGAACCTTCCTTCCTAAAAGCCACGCTCGCAGAAAAAAGAGCTATCCGAACGGATTTACTGACAAAAATACGAAAGATACGCAGTCCAAAACGGGTCTCTGACTCAGTTCCAAAGATAGCCACATGCATGAATTCGGAATTCAAAGGTGATCAGATATGCTTCAGATATGCTCAAAAATCGTCTCTTTAAATCAGTCAGTAAGACATCTTTTGCTTAAAAGCTACAAATGGCGTTCTCTTGTCGTTGTTGTTGTTGTTGTTCTCCACCTCTGTAAAAGATAAGCTGCCCCTTCTGGCCGCCTCCATGTGCATCTATCAGTTGACCTGCTCTTGTGGAGCAAGGCACATTGACCGTAGCTAGAGGACGTTTTCCACACGAATAGGAGAACATATTCCAGCATGGTTTTGCAAAGGAAAAGGGGAGGGTGAAGGGAGCCGTATTCTACAACACTTGACCGACTCATGTCACTCTAGCAACGCTGACCACGATTTTAAGATCATCTATGGAATTTGTGTTAACTTGCCGCATTTTCTCCTAAAAACAGGGGAGGCCTTCTCCATTCTTGAGTTTGAGCCAGACTTTTGTGTATAAAAGAAGTATGTACAATCTGTATTTCTGCAGTGGACGTAGACGGATAAATGCATATCTATCTGTATTTTATTATTGTTACCATTGTGTTTTTCACTCATTTAATTTGCTTGTTTTGTCGATGTACCTTCCCCTCATTACTAGTATCATTATTAATCTCATTATTGTTGTTATTATTATTACTGGTATTCTCACTTTGAAGCATTTCCACTTATCCCCGCTGCCATTCAAAATCAAAAATACTTGTTTGCAATGTTGACTTCCATCCTATTGAATTTTATACCATATTTGCCTACTAACCCCGTGGTGGTTATATACACCACCACACCCTTCCAATATCTGTACATCCTATGAGTTATTGTGTATATAACATTGATTGTTTTACCACTTGCCACTTGACATTTAGCTGTGATTATGTAATCGCATCTAATTCAATTGCATGTCACTCCATTATTATCATCTTATGTACTCATACATTTGTTTGGATTTTCTCACAGGATATAATTTCTTAAGACGCTTGTACAGCTTGATAGTAAATCCGTTGAAACGAGACTCGCTCTTCACTGAATTTTGTGTTCAAAATATTATAATGGAATTTTTGAAATTAATGTTTTTGGCTTGCTTGATGACTTTATAATATTGTTAATAATATTACTGCCTGATTGAGTGACTGACTAGACGTAATCTGGTTGAGTAGTCTTCTTCGCCTCTAGTTAGTATTGATAATTGTATAATTCATATAAGTGTAAAACTTGGGCACTGTGGTAGAGCAAAACTCCATTATGGATAAGATTTTATTTTGATAAATCACACAGTGTTGTACAGTAATATTAACTGATGTGACCACGTTTCGAGCATAAACTATTGCTCATAGTCATATCAAGTTACTCACACAACGTTTTTCCTTCACTTATATACATGTGTGAAATCGATTAGATATTGGAATAAAAATCAATATCGGATAATGTACATTCAGAAATAATAGTACCAGTGTTATTGATCGATTACAATCAGATGGGAAAAATAAGACGACTGTTTTTATAGTCGTAATAAGTTACTTGTTAGAATGTTGTGATGTGTTTGAATTGAAATAGAATTTTGAGATTATTTATTATCCCCTTCTGATTTGAACGGCGGTAATAATATCTTCCATATTTGTGGTATTTGCGTTGAGTCATTTCTGTTGCATGTGTTGTGTGTAGACTCGATGAATAAGGATTCAGCAATCAACCTCTCTCTCCACCTACCTAGACTACTTTTTAGAATTTTAACCCTCTCCCACCCTATTGTGTGGTTGTGTGTTAATGCTTGCAGTGTTACTGCCGAGCTTTCTCCTAAATTACTTATCTTCTCGGGGTCAACCATTCTAACCTTAGCTAAATTCTTATGTTCTGATAATCTCACTGACACTGACCTACTAGTTTGACCTATATAGTTGACCTCACAGTCATTGCAGGGTATTTTGTAAATTATATTATTTGTCTAATTAGGTCAAAAGGGTCCTTTAACCTACAGAGCTTGTCTCTGAGTGAGTTTGTAGGTTTGAATGCCACCCTAATTCCTGCTTTATTGAGAATCCTACGTAGGGTCTCAGATGTCCCCTCCCTCAATAAATGATAGAACAGTAGATGACTTATATTCTTTCTTACTTATGTTATCATTACTAGTTACAGAATTATTTTTATTTTGTTTTTGGCTTTTACTGATCTTCCTGATGAATTTTATAGGATAGTTATTTAACACCAACCAACTATTCTTCTATCTGTTTTATTTCGTCATTTAGGTCCTTTTTGTGCTACTTAGTGCTATGGCTCGGTTTGTCAGACACTTCACTAAGCCTGCCTTAACAGTTAACGGATGAGACGAATTAAAGTCTAAATATCTATTAGAATGCGTTGGTTTTCCATAAACACTAGTGTGAAGTTTACCTTCTTCTATTCGTTTCATCTTTCAATCTAACATAGTTAATTCTCCTTGTTCATTTTCTGATTCAAATGTGAACTTTATTCCTTCTACTTGTGAGTTTATATGTGTCAAGAAACTAGAGATATGTTCTGTTTTTAACACTGTGAATGTGTCATCCACATATCTCCACCATATTTTTGGAGTAGGATTAAATGTATTGAGAGCACTATTT